CTGGATTTGTTTCTGACTTCACCAATGGAAACTGGCTTTGGTCATGTCCTTTGAGTGRTGTCTGATGTCCTTACGATCAAACTCTCAGTCATTTAGAGCTCATAGAAACCTTGCATGTCTGCAGAATGCTGTGGAAATGGTGAACTGCAGCAGAGTATGGAAATAAGTATTGTAAGCACGGACAGCATCTGAGGCAAGAACTTTTTGGCAGCCATGACTAGCTCCAGTAAAATGGGTCCTGTTCAGAATACAATAACTCTCTAACAATTCATTGTTGAATCCCTTGTTTCCTTTGTAGACCTAATTTTTGCTAAAATTAATTTTTATGCTGATGTGTATATGCTTTGATTCCACCATGTGAGCTTATTAAATCTATAGTGGTGCATTTTTTTATCACTTCTGCTAGTCAATTTTTCTGCAATTTTAAGCAAAATAACACAATTCCAAAAATACTTGAAAGCTCATGAATGACTCATACTGTAATTCATTGAATACCATAAAATATTCAGTGACTCAGAGTCCTAGCACAAACCAAAGGTCCAAAAAAGACTCTATTGTTCACAATACAGAGGTACAAAATCTGAAGATTTATAAATCAGGCAYTAGGAGCTATTCCTCCTTTCGGGGTTGACACTTGTCAAAATTCTAGCTAMTCCCTGTGTGTATTCTTAAAACAGTGTAATGGAACCTAATAATTTTTTAATGAGAAACAGTGTGTTTGCTAGATTAATTTCAATTTGTAATGTTGATTAGTTTCATGTGAGAGTGTAATGATCTGGAGGAATATATGACACTGGAACACTGGAAACAGTTTTCAAAGCATAAAGCAGCTGTGTTACATGGTTCYTCTACTCAGAATTACAATAGCAGTGTAGCTCACTTTCTGAATGATTCAGCTTTCATGTTTTGAACACCAAAAGCTTTTATTCTCTGGGGCAAACKGATCCCTACATAGTCCAATGAGCATGTCTCTGGCTGAGTGGATTAAGTAGGAAATGGCTTAGAATACCCTGATCCAGAACTGAGAATATTTGAGGAATGAAGTTCGCTCAAGCTTGTTTCCCATCTGAAAACAACACTTCTCCATGGATTATGCACCCTGCCAGTTACATATGTGGGTATCTTTATTCGGTTTCATCAATCCTGATCTTTTAATCCAGTATCACTTTGCACTTGCATACATCTACTGATGTGGCCAGACCAACAGCCATTCAGGGATGCCATAAAGGAAAGAAGAACCAGTCTGTCACCTTTAAAAATTGTGTATTTACTTTTGAACACAACAGCATTTTGAGGTGTGGCTATGCTTACCCACAGCTTTGATGGATAATGCCCTTTCTGAAATAAAATATCACACTGCTCAGTAAATCCAGAGACAATTCAGCTGGTGATAACATTTGGTTTGAGCTGAGGTTTTGATAATGAAACAAAAATGGCATTGAGAATCATGTGGCTTCCCCAGAAGCCCCTTTGGAGGAGAACAGGTGCATCAAAGTAACTTTTTAAGAGGACTGAGCATAACTGGGGTTTGAGGATTTCATTGGAAGACTGAGGATTTGTTTAAATGTGGTCTCTGGAGAAGACAGAAAATGGTAGGTACGAGTCTAAGTGGGTATCACAGGAAACAGTAGAACTGTAATGCTGTGTTACTGCACCCAATAGAATTAGAAACGTCAGTCTGATAGAGCAGTTCTATTTCTTATGCGGAAATTTTTTAAATAAAAAATCGGCAGCCTTGTGCAGATGACTTTTAAATGAATCCATAAGCATTGATACATTCCCTTGCCAAGGTGCAGTATCATTGATCACAACTGGGACTCATTGTTATTAAGGTTTCAACAACATTTGTATTAACAAGTCACCTTTGCATCGTAAAAAGGGAGAGGGTTGATAGGCATTAAGAAAACAGCTGCATCGTAGYGAGCAGCCAAGAGCACAATGGGTGTCAATAGGAGGTAAAACTACTCCCGCTGAGACAAGTGAAGAAGAAAAATGAAACAGGAGGATTTGTTCCAGCAGCCCTGTCTAATTGTTTATTCCTTTCTCATTCCATCCTAGTCACTTAAGGGCTATGGCTTCTGTCATGTAAAAGGAAGAATCAAACCTTGTGCTGCTTGGGGTTTCTCTCACTGTAAATGAGTGGAATTTGGGTGCTGGGAAGTTGTGGGCAGGGTGATGGCATGTTACCTTTTCCTGATTAGCTACAAGGCATTTACTTCAGATAAGTGCAGTGTGAGCGTATGACCTCATAAGTGGCCCCAACCAAACACTAACAGTCTACTTTAGAGAGGAGATTAGGTTCCACTAATGGTGTCACAGCATGAAATAAGATGCAAYGTATTAACTGGGGGAGAAGGAGCAGGAGCGGGCAGAGGCGAAGCTGGGAAGAGAAAAGGACAGCTGAAAGGTGCAAAGGGCAGCACAGGATATCTATAGCTCCTCAATGTAAGCAGATTTTTCRGGCTTCTTGTGTGGAAAAACAGAATTTTAAGCAATACAGGTACTGACTCCCCTGCACCTGGCACCCAAAGTTTGGCTCTCCTGAGCGTGCTTGGCCAGTGCAGGGAGCCCATGCGTGCCTCTGCCATCGCTGGGCTCCCAGAGAGGGGCAGAGTTTGCCYCAGCAGCAGCTCCAAATTGTCCCATGCCCCTCTGGGTGCTGAGGGCAGCAGTGCCTTACTGGATTCAGCATTTTGGTTCTGAGAGCAGGAACWCAAAGCATTGTTCCTGGGAGCTGCGTTCAGTGCAAGCTGATTTGGTCCTACTCCCTTCAGAGGCCTCTGTTTCCCTTTCGTGGTTATACCACAAACTCTAAAAATAGAAATTTTTTCATCACTGGTAGCATTGAAGCTGCTGTTCTTCTCAGGAAGAACAAGTCAGGCATTTCCCATAATCTGCAGAGAGCTCTCTTATAACTCTGAGATTAATTTCATTAATAGACCAAGCAAAGCAGTTGAACTCAGAAGCTTGCTCTCAGGTGAAAGATACCTGGCAAATTTTGTAATCACTGTTATTCATCCACCTAAGCTGAAGGAGCTGGAGCAACTTTTAACAAACTGGCCATTTTTTTTTTCTCAACTGTTCTTTCTTAGTTCTAAAACTAGTAAAATCTGGCAGAAGAATTTCTGCTCCAGTTTATAGGATTTCTAAATTTTTGAAGCTCATCGCATTTGTGCTGACCACATTCCCTGGCAGGCTGAAGTTAGACAGCTCACATATGTGAAAAATGTTTTGGCCCTTGTCATTTCTCAGATTTTGCCATATTTATCAAATGGGTGTACCAAATGAACACAGTGAAAAAAACTGCTCTGGTACCTATTTGCATATATCCATGCTCATTTTCAAGTCCATGATGCTCCCATTAGAATCTGCTTTTACATGCTAAGAATCAGGCAATAAATGTTTATATTGCATTTTCTATGTGCCAGCTGTCTTAACCCTACATGCAAACCCAGTGGGTAAATAAATATTTGAATCTGATTTATTGCAAAGAAATCCTAAAACATTATCAGGAATTTTTGGTCTTATGCAATGTCTATATGGTTTTGCAGTCCAAGCACAGTTTAAAGTACAGACATAATTTAAGAGGCCAGCATGAGAGAATCTTTTTCTGAAGGCTGTCTRCTGATTTTACTGTTGTTTACAAGCTGAGAGCTTGTGATTAACAACACTCTGGCTTTGAATAACAGGGCACTGGATTTTCACTAGCAGGCATGTTCCTCTGTTAAAGCACCGAGGTGTAACGGTGCAGGGTTGCTGCTGATGAAAAAAATCCAAGAGTGATCTGCTCCTTCAGCAGCTCGAATTTTCAGGGGATGAAAAGTACAGGTGCTGAACTAAAGCACAAATGTTAATATCTGTTCTCACACACGTGCACATATGTATGTATGCATATAGACGTCTATATTACACATGGTTACAGACATATCAAGTGACAGATTTTTTTGAAAGAACACCTTAAAAGCAGTGACTAATTTCTGGGCTAGGTTTGAGACAGAGCAGATGACCTAAGTGCATCCCATGCCAACATGAATCTGATGAAAACATTCATCTCTTTGGAAGATGAATGGTTGAATTGTGGTTCTTTGCATGGGGGCAAGATTAATTTGGAGTGTATCCTCTCTGGAGATGGTACCAGCCACTCAGACTTATTATCCCAGAGAATTCACTGTCAATTGAAGCYATCAGACTATTTTCATTGGACAAATGCCTCCTTCTACAGGATTACACRCGAAATCATTTCCACCTCAGTTAAAGACTATCTGCTTTACTGTAGCTAATGCTATTGAGCAGTTGGGTGTTTAGCCAGCCTTCTCCAAGGGACTCTGAGCACCCTCAGGCCAAGGTGGGAAAGAATCAGATTTTGCCACTCCAAATGCTCCAACTACAAGACTASAGAAGAGTCAGGAGCACAAAACACTTGCAGCTGTCACTGCAGAAGATATATTCCACTCTATTCATAATGTTGAGTTCATGAGAGAGGGGCTTTAGACGTGACATTCTCATGTCCCCAAGGGGCTTGGTGGCCTGTAGCTCAGGCACTCAGGTGTGGCAAAGCAGTGGGGCTCGTGGGGCAGTTTTATGAGGCATCTGATACTCAGCACTCTTCTTTCCTCAGAGATTTTTTTTTATGGTGGAGAGGATGTTTGCCAAAGTTCTCTGCTACCTTGTAYTTCAGTCCCCAAATGCAGCTGTCTCCTCTGGGGCAGTGCTCTGGTCCTGTAGCAGCCTTTCTAACATGGTGGCAGTGCACAGCTAAAGCAGAGACTGGGGCTAGGGGTGAAAAACCAACTCATATTTTATTACATGAAATACAGCACAGAAAGTGCAATTTCCACATTATTTTCAGTCTCGGAAGGACAATGCAAGATCACAGTGTGGAAACCCACAGCCTACTGCTATAGATGTTTGTCACTTTTGCCTTCTTTTTGAGGAACTTGAAAATGCTGTCTTGCTATCATTAAAATACTGATTTAATTGTCTTCTAATTTTCTTCTCAGCAATCCTGCTCACCAAATAAATAAACCAGAGGCATGAAACCTACTGTTCCATCTTCTGTGCCAGATGAATACAGAAGGCTCTCTCCATGCAATTTGCAAGGTTCATGTATTTCTACGATTGCACCCAACTTTCATAAAGCAGCAGGATTAGGGCATCATTCCTGCAGGACACACCACCTTTCCTTACACAAACTCCATTYAATATCTCTGCCGCAGGTTCAGAACTGATCACTGCTCCCAAGGCTGTTTGAAACACTCTGGCCACTGACCTCAGTTGTTACCACCCTCATTTCCCAATATGGCCCAGATTTGTAGTTACACTCTCTCTGGGAGCTGTTGAGGCTGCAGGGGGCTGGACATGACATTGGCTCTGATCCCAGTGCCCTCACACATGACCCCAATCAGCTTCGCTACAATTCTCATGGTACACACAGGGTTTCCAGATGGAAAGAGAAAAAGAAATGTTATCAGCACAATCCAAATGGAAAAGGGTTATTTTTTTTTTCATAGATTATCTCTGATGCTGATACATGGGAGTTATTAATTAATCTTTTTGTATAAGAATAGTTTCATTTGTTTGAACAAGGGAAATATATCAGGCTTACTTTGATTGTCAGATTSCTATTTTTCTTTTAAAATGGGAAATAATGCTAAAAGGAATTATCCTTTCTTTTTAATGCATTTTCTACTGTTCATCAAATCTCTCAGTCCATGATTTGGCGTACCACTAGAGCTGCTGAGTGTTGGAGCTGGGAAAGGAGCAGCGCTTCTGGACAGTCACTCAGTTTGTTGTGTTCAGTGTCAGTGGGATGAGCAAATAAGGTGGGCAGTAACTGGAGGAAAAWGCTGCTGTATTTCTTTCTTGGCACAACCCAGGATCTTTATTTGCAATTCACTTATTGTTATACAAGCCCCTTTTTGCCAGATCCTCAAGTTTTGGCAGTTTCTTCATTAAAGTCATCTCTGCTAACAAATCTTTCTTGATTATACCAATTTTTAGTGCAGTTTAGAGGTGCAACTATGCTATACTGAGACCAAGTTGTTTGCTGGGTGAGCAGTTTACTGAGCAAATATGTAGTGCCAGAGTTCACACACAGCTCTGAACATGTGTAATTCATACATACAACTTATTTTGTTAAGTAAGACTACGTTTGGAAGTTTTCAGAATCAGAACCTGGAATGACTTTTTCTGCCCTGCTCCTACTCCTCCAGCCTCAAACCCATGATCCAAAAAATAAGCAACATGCTGAACTGCAGAAAACTCTCACCATCAGCTCACTTTTTATTTAATAGCAACCAGGTATTTTTCCTGCCAGATCCATGCTGAGGTTTTGATGACATGCATATGGCATACAGTGGCCAGTAAGGTTAATCTCAGATCTATATTTTTTAATATAGATTCCMATGAGGATATCATATTCTGCACCTGCTGTCGATGTAAAGATGGCTTTCCCAACTGCAACTCACCTCAYGGCGTGTTCTTGAAAACCTTTCACTTTTAACATATCTGCTTAATAAAAATGCCTTCAGTGACAGTGAAAAATGGAACCTATCAATGTGTTACCAGCCCACATTTCCATTGCAACCATCTAAACTTGAGAGAGCCRTGCACTCAGTGAGAGGCAATGATGCTGTTACAGCCTGACAAGGGCATTTTGAGATCCTTGGGCATTGACTGCACAAATGCTCTTATAGGTTTATCTTTTAGAATGGGCCTTGCAGTWGGGATATTTGAAAATTTCTGGCTTACAGGGCATAACAGGAATTGATCTGAGAGCTCAGAGAATGAACAGAAATTGTGAGTGAGCCAAAGGTAAATGTGTGTGTATGTTCCCATTGAGGATAAAAGAAGCAACAAGTAAACCCACTACCAAAACCGAAAGATCACAGTTCAGACTGTGTTTCTAAAAGATGAAGAAAGGTAAATCAATCTTACCCTCAGATTCAGCAACTTCTAATAGCTCTGCCAGGGATGTCAGCAGTGCTGCTGTCTGGCTGCATTGTGGTTACGGGGTTCATTTCAAACACTGCAAGCTGTGAACTGTCCTAGAAAAARCTCAACAACTGCAATTAAACAGTTTTAAAGTCCTAAGTCATAAAGAATAGGCAAATAGTTTTCTTTGCAGTGTCCTGCTTAGGTGGGAGCTGTCTGGCCACTCCTGCAGAAGGAGACTGTGCTCTTAGAAGCACACTTGTGGACACTTTTACAAGGAAGCACCCCAGACTCCTTCGTGCTTGTAGGGATGAGCCTGAATGTGTTGAGGTGTCACTAATGATCCTTGCATGGATTAAAACACCGGATATAGTCCTTAGGCATCAGGAGAAGCCTCAGTAAGACACAGGTATCTTCTTGTCCTACTCCCTCAAAAGGGATGTTACTTTCTTGTAGCCTAAATTCCAAACATTCAGTTTTGGAGGAGAGGTGTTTTTGTTTTAGTGAAGAATGGGACAGGGAGTAGGGAAGTCAGAACACTGTTAAGTTTTGAGGCCCTACCAGTGACAGTGATCCTCTGAACTGCCAGTGGTTTGATTCCATGCTCAGCATGAAGAAGATAAAAATTCAAAACTGAGCAATACAGGGAACTGCAACTGGGTCTCCAAATCCCTGAACATTTTTTTTTTAATCATTTGTCTCACCTGTTGCAGTACAGCCTGACTGTCGTGCCTCAGGAATCAGAATTTCCATCCTTGGCCAGCAGCAGCTCTGCTCTGACCTGGTGAGAGGGGATGGGTGTGATTGCTCCCAGCCACATCCTCAGGATTTAAAACCTCCATGGCCTGAAGCACCTGTCCCCAGCACAAAGAAACCTCTGCTCTCACTGCATAGGCTAAATTATTATCTAACCCACACTAAGTTATAATATACCAGTGGTATATTCAGAGCTGGCCTGGTCTTTTGAAATGCAAATTAACAGTTGAGTAATAACCAGGTGCTTTTGACCCTGAGTGAGAAAAGCCAAATGTTGAGTCAGTTTTTGCAGAGCTGGAGAGGTGCTGTGTCCATCACAGAGCCATCCAGCCCAGCCAGGCACCAGCTCCCAGTCCCTGGTGCCACCAGGCTGCATTTCCCTTCTCATGGCTCTCCTGCTTTGAAGTTGAGCTGCAGCATGCCCAGCTGTGCTCAGCAGGAGGGCCAAAGGTTTGAATATTTGGATTTCATCTGTGTTTATAGAGGCTTTTGAGATGTAGGAATTCTGTTACATAGTCCAGTGTCAGGGGGAGGTTGTTAATGGGTCCTGAGGAGCTCCATCCCTTACACAAACCACTCCAGGCCCCGTCTGCTCGTGCCAGACACTAATGGCCGCATGGACCTAGTGCATAATATCAGGGACCTTTAACAGAGCTCTTTCATTGCATCTCTGACTTTATTTCTGGTTCTTTCATAAGGCTGCATGCGGCAGCAGGCAATATTTAGTCCATTCCACTTAACTAGTTCTAGTTTGAAGTTGATTTTGGTGTACTATTGCTTTCTGCAGTGGCTGACTCACACACACATGAAATTTCCTTGGTTTCCATAAGGAAAAAAAGTATGGAATTTGATAATATAGCATGGAAACTATTGATTCTCTAAAGCCTCATGTGCTGCTTCAGTGTGTGCAATAGTCTCATGTAGACATGCACACATCAGCCCAGTTAATGAGTGGGGGCCAGGAAGGGCAGGACGAGCAGAAGAGCATTTGCTTGCTCTGTCCTTTCATTCCAAATCCAGACAGGCAGAGAAGCATTACAATATTCCTGCCAAACAACTCGGGAAGGACATATTTCAATCTCACACAGCAGAACTGTGGAAGCTCTCCCGTTTTCCAGGCAGCTCCTGAGCTGCACCATGAGATGTGCAGCGCTGGGTGTGAGAGGATGGAGGCTGCTGCTTCTGCTACAAGKGTGGTGTAGCTGCACTGCAGCAAGCTGTGCTGGGGTAAAGGAATGAATCCCTGTCCTGTTTGTTTCGTGGAGGACCCTTTCTCCCATTACAGAAAAATTGGCAGCTTCCAGTYGTGCAGAGCTGTGTGCACAGCCAGCAAAGGGGCAGGCTTGCCAAGGGGTTTGTTGCCTGTCAACAGAGAATGGCACTTTGTGGAGTGTGCCTGAGGTCGACCTGTGACTCCTTTCTGCTGCCAGTCCTTATTATAGGCCATAATCCTCTCCAAAGTTATTCCTGCCCTTTTCTTTCTCTTGTGGGCAGATGTTCCCTATTCTTTATCAAGCATTGATAAATGAGTGAGTAGGAACAGAAATATTGAACTGGATGAGCTGTTTTAGCACTGGGTAATTCTGTGGTCCATGCAGCATAATTAAAGGTCAAYGTGCTCCTTCCTAGTTAAGGTCACTTTGTGTGTTTGAAGGTGCACCTCAGACTCGAGTGTTCCCCTGCATGGGAGGAAGTGTTATAAATGAATGAATTGACCTATTCTACCTCCTCCTGCACTCTGGAAAACCCCATTTTTTTCTGTAAATTGTGGGTACTGCACTCAAGGAAGTGCTGCACAGGGCTGCTGTACAGTTACAGTGCTATATGGATAAATTGAATATATTTGCATAGGGTGTATGCTGGTCTCTGTGCCTTTTTTTTAACCTTTTCTGGTTTATCCTATACAATAATTAAGCAGCCCAGTGGAGAAGGCACAAGAGGGGTGCCATTTCCTGGACATTGCAGKGATGTAGCTCCAGTGTCTGGCAGAGGGGCTCCTATTGAGCCAAGTGTGAATCAAATGCCTGCTATTAAAAGTAACACACTAAAATGGGATTCCATCAATTTGCTATTTGTGTCTTTTAATATTAATAAAAATATATTTCTCGAGGCAGCAGGGATAGAGTGAAAGCAAGGACAAGTCACATCCGCATCTTCTCCATGTGATTAGAGTATTTGCATCAAATACTTTATTATGAAGGCTGGAGAACAAGAAAAGCACATTCAGCATCATATGTTATGGCACAATCCCTCTCTGGTAGAGCAAACAATGGGACTATTATACAAGCTGACATATTTTTTGTTTCTAATATATTCTGCTTCTTTGTGTCTGTGTGTGCTTAAATAGCAGGCACAGATGTACTGTTTCCAAAGGTCTTTGACTTGTCATGAGAATACTGTCTTTACCAGTAAAATAAATTGATTACTAGTGACAATGTTAACTGTTATACAAAGAACACAGCTCTGGTGGGCTTTGTTGGATTTGAAAGAAAAGGTGATTATTTCTTCTTTATGACAGTTTGARAGGTTTGCCATGTGGATATGGAGAGATTTTGCTCATGAATATGCAGAGGAATGGCAACAGGCCGGGGAGCCAGAGCTTCACATTGACCGTTGGCTGTGATTGAGTTGGGGGAAGAAATAAAACATGAGACGAACWCAAAATCTACAAAACCAGCATGGGAGGTGGTTAAAATATTTGTGAGGATATTGTGCCATATAATATTTGGTGATTATTATCAAATTGATTACATAGTTAGAGGGAAAACGGTGCCAATGGGATGGTGCACAGGGCACCAAGTTCACGGTAAGGCCATCAAATTCTGGAATGCTTCTTGTGCCTAGGGATTATTGGTTGATAATAYGATCAAGTGTCCTCTGAGAAGTGACATCAGGAAAATGGCCTGTGACATGAGGCATTAGACTTATCAAGGTGTGTTGCAATATTTCTGGGAAGCATTCAAGTTTGCTAAAGAAAAAAACAACTCTTGCAAGTGTTTCAGCATTCTATGGCACAGAGAAATTTATGAAACAACAGAGTAAAAATCACAGCCACAAAATGCCTACTTCTTACATTACAATGGCTTTTCACAGATTTTTCTTTTTATAATGTGAAAAATTATAAAAGGTACACTTAGAGTAAGTCTTTTACTAGAATCTTCACATTTGAGCAGATTTTTGATCTAAAACATATTTAAAAAATTGTACAGATATCACATTAAAATAATTTGGGATCTTTTCCAAACTAATTTAAGATTCTACAAATATTTTGTGTAATGCGATGGGTAATTACCCATTTGCTCCCCCTAGAAAAGGCTGTGAGTTCTCCCTTGATTGCAGTTCAGATCATGCTGCTAAACACCAATTTAGAACACAAATCAGGCTCCTTGTTGATTGCAGTTCAGTTCATGCTGCTAAATACGAGTTCTCTGATCAGCAAGATGCTGCTCTGTGGGCTGTGACCTGGGCCTCCCAAAGCCRTGGATGCCTAATTTTACATAGGTTGCATTACTAAAATTAGGTCTATCCTATCAAATCATAATTAAGGATATCATTCTTAYCTGATTAATAAACCTGCTTTGCTCTGTATATTTTCAAATTGCCAAGAATTTATTATACAGAGTGTATTTAAAAAAAAAATCTTACTGAAATCCTGCAGAGACTTTGATGGAACAGACCCTAAACAKAATGAAAGATGGAATATGGTAATAAAGGAGACTGAAACCAAGTTTTCTTTGTCACAGCAGTTTCTAATCAATCCTTATGTATCACRTGGTCATGTTTGTAATGAAAATATTCTCATTAAATAAGGAAAAGTATAAAGTGTTCACTCAAAAGCACCTACCAGCTGCATGCACTGTATTAATAGAAAGACTGATATACCTAATCAGGAGTTCCCATTTCAAACCAGGAAGCCTAACAGCTTCTGAGATATAAGTAAATGAAAATTCATGATTCTGTATTGTGCCCAAGAGCCAACTTTACTGCTATTGCCATATAATTATTTATAGCTGCAAACTATCAAATGGAATTGCTTACCACCACCTTACTATGTGTGGTAATTGATGTGAAGTGAGGCATTGCGTCCCCAGCTGACCCCAGCATCCTGAAAGTCAGATGGATTTTATCTAACTCAATTATGATTGATATTATCAAAATCCGTGAAGCACGACATGGTGTGGGGGGCTCTCCGAGTGTATCTATCGATTGTTTCTCTGCTCTGTGTGGCTGCATGTGTTTCTCCAGGCTGTGGCAACGGAGCTGTCTCTGGGGAAAAGAAGAGCAGTACTGCTAACAATTTCCATGTGTAAATATATATTTCTGATGGCTTAACTTGCCCTCCTTGCCTCATAGGGATTGCCAGGACTTGTACTACAAAACCTCGGGTTCACTGGCGAAGAATTTTGCTACAAGAAGAAAATTTGCCAGGATGGTTGGTGGGGTTGGAAACCAAAATGTTCTGTGRTGCTTAGCTGTGACTGGAGCAGAACAAGAACTCTGTGTGGCAGTTCTGTGCCGCTCCTTCACTCCACTGGAGCACTCAGTGTCCCATAAAAGCAACTGGCCCCACGCTCTGGCTCCTGCAGGTGTTTGCAGAAA